AGTCGGTTGCCCTTTCCCCTTTCCTCCTCCTGTTTTTCTCTTGTTTTTCCCTTCTCGGTCTGTTCCTCTGTCTTTTCTTCTTTCTCTTCTTCTTCTGTTTTTCTTTTTGCTTTCTCCTCTGTTTTTTCTTTTCCCCCTGCGTCCTTTCCCGATCCGGCCATGTCCTCCTACCCACCCTCAGCGACGATCATCCTCCTTCATCTTTCAGATCCGGCATGCAGCTGCTTTCAAACCGCGTTTTGTTGCGGTATTTCGAAAGGGTGCGTTGAGATCCGGCATGCAGCTGCTTTCAAACCCAGCCATCGACACCACTCCATAACCGCCTTCTAAACCACCTTGTTCCATGGAGAAGTCGTGTCGTTAGTCCCAGTCGTCGAGTCGTAACTGTCGCGTCATAGCAAATCAACGGTTGTGGAGAAACTGAGCGGAGGCAGCAGACATCGGACGATGGACCGGAATTCATCGTAGTCGTCGGTGAGGAGCACAACGTTGTCCCAGCCGTCTTGGATTCGTGAGGAAGACGACGTTCCCAGGCTCCTACTTCTCTTCTTCTCGGTTTGTAATTTAATTTTTGTACAGATTTCGAATTTTCTGCATGTAATTTCATTTTTGTACTGAATTCGATTTTAGGGATTTAGGAATTAGGGATTCAGTTCATTTGCTTTGAATTTGAATTTGGGGATTTAGAGATTCAGTTCATTTGCTTTGAATTCGAATTTGGGGATTTAGGGATTCGGTTAATTTGCTCCGGCGTTCTTCTCCGATTTGAACAGTTCCAAAATATCGCGATAGTTTCGAAAATATCACGATATTATCGATAATATCGCGATATTTTGCCGAATCGGACCCCCAAAAAAACGATAATATCGGCGAAATATCGCCGATATTATCAATATTTTCTTCATTAGTTGCAACTGCTTCAGTGGAGAGAGCATTTTCTGTCATGAATATTGTTAAAGGTCCACTTAGGAACAAAATGGGAGATCAATGGTTGAGTGATAGCTTGCTTGTTTATATTGAGAGAGATATTTTTGCTTGTATTGAAAATGAAGCTATAATGCTTCGTTTTCAAAATATGAAACCTCGTCGTGGACAATTATAGCTTGTAATATTGTTTCCGTTATGAATTATGAATGAAAATACTATGATTTCATTTTCAACATGTTTTTCCTGTTGGTATTTAGACAATTTTTCATCATTAATAAAACTTGAATAAAATGATAAAGATTGAAAATCAAAGAAACAGAGTGCAGAGAGCTTTGGAAACAGAGGGATGATGTTTTTTCTTAAAACAGAGATCTTATCTTTTCATTAAGATATTTCTGATATATATGGCTCAATACATAAGCCGACTGAAGTAATTAGGTCGACTGATAAATAGAATGGGTCGACTGATAAAGACAACAGTCAGCCCTTTTACACAGAATCAGTTTAAGTAAAGCATTAACTTTACCATTTCCATCCTAAATTTTTTTTTTGGACTTTTACACTACGACCCCTTGTGGTAAGATTCCTGGCTCCGCCACTACATGCATGTCCCATGTAGGAGAAGGCTTGCATACATTATATATATTTGATGTATAGCTGGTACTTGGGGCAATTTAGAAGGGTCTCAGGAAGACTGTAAATGTGATGTAGATCATATATTGCGGAATAGATCGACGATCAAGTTAAAAGACATAAATTTAGCAATAAGAATAAAACTTTGTAAATTTGAATTCTGATGTTTGATTTGGATCATAACCTGCCGTTTTGAAGTCAATGGCATCACAAGTCCAAATCAATCTCAGCCACTAGTCTTCTAGTGGATTAATACAGATGTATCCTGCATTCGAACTTCAAAAGGACAAATATAATATATATATATATATATATATATATATATATATATATATATGCTGTTTTTTTTTTGTGTGTGTTATTGATGGCCACTTACTATATACTTTCAAAGTAGAAAAGAGTTTTGACTTTTGTTAATTTATACATGATGATTCCATTTTCCCTGTATAACACTTGCAGCTTAATTTAATATATGAAGGTGCTTCAAGCATAAACACAAATTAAAAAATGACTACTGAACACGATAACATATACGAGCCTACCTACTTGCAGTTCATATGGACTGAGAAAAGAAAAAGAAAACAGATAAACCCTGCAACCCAGAACGAGTTCAACTTCAAACTTTGTAATTGTATGTAGAAATTAGAAGACTTTGATCATTGATCAAACCCTAATGCCTTGACTTTCTAACTGTGATGTGACTTCAAAATCTATGTGAAGTCAATGTGAGGAAATTTATATTTGGTTTGATAAGAGAAACATTCCACTTGGGAAAGCTAAATATCTTTTTAAATATAATTAGTACATTTTATCTTATCCCTTGTCACTTCCTAATATAAGAGCATTAGTTATCATTTTCTGTTCACCAATATAAAACTTAAAATGTGCACGTTGCATGTGAGCCAATCATGTATCCAACTAAATTTCAACCCTTCCGTTTTTCACATTTCTTTCCCATCATCATGATTTTGTGTAAATGATACTCTTTTTACTCTTTTCCCTACCATAACAACTGAAAACGATATATTTATCAGCGTGTCCAGATCACGAGTACAGACTCTATATGTCATTATACAAATGAAAAGATATTTTAAAAAAATAAAAAATATTTCCTCCACTTGATGAAAAACATATGGCGTACCGTCTGTATTCTGATTATATGAAAAAAAATCCTGAATAATAAAAAAAATTAAGTAAATATATTGCTCAACTGCTGGTACATTTTTATTTCAAAAACCAGAATTATTATTACATATGATACAGTACTAGTAACTTCTCTATGCCACGATCGATAACTAACGATCATAATAAGTTCCTCGAGGTTTCAACAGATTTCTGGTTCTGAGTACATGCACTCATGTAAAATACACTCAAAACCGAAACATACGTATGCTAGTGTAGACACTGATTTTTTTTAATGATGTATGGGATCAGGACCTCCGGGACTCGATCGCTTCGGATAGTAACGAGTTTGGTTCGCGTCTTTTCTCAACCAAACGTTTAGTAGTTCCCTAGCATTTCCGGCCAATGCTTGTCTCGACCTGGTTAAATTCCTCTTCTCCCGACTCGGACTGAGACGCCGAGTTTCAGCACTAGAAAATAGCAGCAGCATTAGTACGATGCAGGCACAACATCTCCAGTTAATGAGCATTTTTCTGGAAAGGGTTACATAAAAATGCTAGGCTTGTAGAGACTCCCCAAGTGAGTATGTTATATATATAGATTAGACACCATCAAAGTGTTCGATTTTTGCTATAATATTATTCAAAGTGGGTGGAAATGGGACCTCACAAAGCCCATATTATAATGCTTTTTTTGTTGTGTCTTGTAGTTGAGTTCTTGTACCTTTTGACCCTTTTTTCACTAATCGAAAATAACAAATACCGACCAACTCTTTGTACTCAAACAATACGCTACATCCCCCCACCACCACCACCACCCCCTCTCCCTCCCTCCCCCTCTACCCTCTACTATTAGATGAAGTCTATAAGCTGGGACACTTAAACTGAATAAAATTTCATCTCTTACAACCTCTCAGGCTGTTTGTTTAAGTGAGCATTTGCCTTGGGTGCTCCAATGATAACATTGATTAGGGTTTCAAGGCACCTTTTGAAAATCAAGGGGAGTAGGTTAATAGTTTGGCCGGCTTTTGTCGGCTAAAAATTATAAGTGTGGCCGGCCGGATTTCTTTCTCTATACTTGAAGTAAAATAGAGTTATAAGCTCTCCATGTCCATATTCTCCCTGTAGCTTTCCATCAACGAAGGAATAGACTAAGGAAAGCAAAGGTCCATAGGTAGTTACCAATTGATGCCACCGAAAGTCCTCTAAATATTCGTAAGATGTTATGATGTCGAGCGCCATTGAGATCTCCAGTGTCGTCGTTTTATTTTGGGAATTCACAGGTTTGGAGAGGAGTTCACAAGCTTAAACAATCAATGTGCTGAGTATTGTACTATATTTTTCAATAATAGGTAGATTATTACTACGAGCATCTTGGATAAGTTGGGTAGGTGATTTTAGTTGTTACATGAATTTTAAATTATGTAGTGGGTGTTTTCGGCATAGGGTGCCTTCAAATCAATTTGGGGGGGGGGGGGGGTGTGGGGGGGTGCGGTGAAGCCTTTTAGATTAGAAAGAAGACAATACCATTAACTTTAAGAATGGGGATAGAAGGAAGCTATGATTTACAAAGTCATCGATATCATTCAGATGCCAATGGTTAATCAGAAGCAACTTGCACGAAATCTAACCAGAACACCCGTATATATGATCTTTAGACGCGAAATTTATTACAGAATCGAGTCAGAAACCTGATTGCGTCCTAATAAGAACGTAGTATATGTATTTAGGAAGGAAAATATGAAAGACAGATGCCCAACGAGATTACGAACGAGGTTATTGACTAATTATTTACATCACTATGAGTCGGACCATTCATATATAAAGCTTATGCTATATTACGAACGAGCTTCTGAAGATCCGGCAGTCCAACTTTGGAATAAGAGAGAGCGTAAACTCAAGGCCTGATTCAACTCTGAAGCATCACATTTAGGTTTCAGATGAACCTTCGATTAGCAGGTTCTCGTTGTCTGAATGAAAGCAGGAAACAGAAAGCGTAACACGATCCTGACATTCAGACAACATAGTAAATCATGACTATAACAGTATAACCAGAGTTTTACATGCACTACTTGAAGTTTGTAAAGAAAAATAAGGCAACCCAACCTGTCATTGCTTATAAGAAGCCTTTTTTATATAACAACTGTCGGCGATCTTGAACATGTCTGAAGCTCCTTGAACACCAGTTTTGAGGCAAATTTATGAACTTTATGAATGTGATTAATTAATTATTAAGGAAAATGCAACTTTATCTCAACGATCAAAACGGTAGACAGAAAAACAGGAAATTAACATCTAAAACAGTCTGAAGGATATCTTTGCTTCGTAAATGGGATGGTTAAGCATCAGTAGACTGTAGTTGTTCACAATAGCTCTAACTAGCAATTCCTTGGCTTCCACGTGTTTCTTTCTCAGCACGTTGCATATCTGCAAGGAAGATAATTAGCGATGCACAATCACTCGAAATGGCGCTATATACTCAAATTATGACAGAAGATCATGATACCTTGCGGTCCTATTTCTCTTTATAATGCACATACAATGTTACAGTAAAAGTAATGATAATTTACTCACATCTTCAAGCTCCTTAGCGTACGCTTCAGCCTTTTCAACATTTCCATCATTTTCCATCACTGAAGGAATATCAAGTTCCATCACATTGATCACACAAGGACTACCGAGTTCAGAGGTCTGATGGTCACCAAAAGTGCTGTTAGTCTTGCTCTCCACATGACTCATGAATGCGAACCTAGCGAAAACGTAAAGAATATTTTAGTCAGTTTATCTAGTACAGGCTCCCACCTATAATTCACTTAATAGCATTCATTATAAATCATTAATTCTATAGAGTTAGTTGAGAACCTGTTCTGCAACAACTTCTTTTGAAGGTTCTTTGAAGTTTCTGCACGTATTATTGGAAAAAGAATGTGAGATGTCAGCAGATTCCCAGTAAACCACTTTAGAACACGTAATTAATAATAGGCCGGAAAAGGGTTCAGAACAATAAGTTAAACACATAGCTGCTAGTAAAAGAGGACCTGGATTCTTTAGGTGACTGAGAAAGGCGCTATAGAGGCTTTAAGGATGTTAAACCTGAAGCAGATCCCTGCAAAATAGCTTCGTGTAAGAAATTGAGAATGTTAACTCAGAAGAGTGTAGAAACTACTCATTTTATCGTCGAATCAGGAAAGAAGAAGTGGTTGTAGCTTTGAAGAAGATGAAGCATAGAAAAGCAGTGGGCCCAAACGATATACCGATTGAAGTGTGGAAAGCCTTGGGAGAGACAGGTATAGCATGGCTCACTGACCTTTTCAATAGGATTTTGAAAACGAAGAAGATGCCAAACGAGTGGCGAAAGAGCACCTTGGTGCCTATTTACAAGAATAAGGGCGACGTACAAAATTGCATGAACTATAGGGGTATTAAGCTAATGAGTCATACAATGAAGCTCTGGGAGAGAGTCATTGAGCATAGATTGAGGCAAGAGACACGGGTTTCGGACAACCAATTCGGGTTCATGCCAGGGCGCTCAACCATGGAGGCAATCTATCTCTTACGAAGATTGATGGAAAGATATAGAGATGGGAAAAAGGATTTACACATGGTCTTTATAGATTTGGAAAAAGCGTATGATAGGGTCCCAAGAGACATTCTTTGGAGGATTTTAGAGAATAAAGGAGTACGAGTAGCATATATCCAAGCTATAAAGGATATGTATGAAGGAGCAAAGACTGCCGTAAGAACTCATGACGGACAAACCGAAAGCTTCCCCCATAACTGTAGGATTACATCAAGGCTCATCCTTAAGTCCTTACCTTTTTGCGTTGGTAATGGATGAGTTAACAGGACATATTCAAGATGATATTCCTTGGTGTATGCTTTTTGCAGACGATAAAGTGTTGATAGATGAAACTCAGGAAGGGGTAAATGCGAAGCTTAACCTTTGGAGAGAAGTGTTGGAATCTAAAGGTCTTCGCCTAAGCCGATCAAAGACAGAATATATGGGTGCAAATTCAGCGCAAATGGAGGTCAAAATGAGTTAGGGGTGAGGATCGGAGATCAGGAAATACCAAAGAGCGACCGTTTTCGCTACCTAGGATCTATCTTGCAAAAGAACGGAGAATTAGATGGAGATCTCAACCATAGAATACAAGCTGGATGGATGAAGTGGAAGAGTGCATCCGGCGTGTTGTGTGATCGTCGTATGCCACTGAAGCTTAAGGGAAAATTTTATAGGACGGCAATAAGGCCGGCGATGCTGTATGGCACAGAATGTTGGGCGGTGAAGCACCAACACGTACACAAAATGGGTGTAGCGGAGATGAGGATGCTTCGTTGGATGTGTGGGCACACGAGAAAGGATAAGATTAGGAATGAGGATATCCGAGGTAAAGTAGGAGTAGCCGAAATTGAAGGAAAACTGAGAGAAAATCGGTTACGGTGGTTTGGACATGTGCAAAGAAGGCCTATTGACGCTCCGGTTAGAAGATGCGACTACGGGACAGGTTCAGGGCCGAAGGGGTAGAGGAAGACCTAGGAAAACTTTGGAAGAGACTCTAAGAAAAGACTTAGAGTACTTGGATCTAACGGAGGACATGACACAGGATCGAGCACAATGGCGTTCTAAGATTCATATAGCCGACCCGACTCAATGACTTGGATTTTTCAAGTCTCCAATCGAGAAGTTTTCCCCACTTGGGAAATTAAGGGAACACTACCTCAACCTACATGCTCCACTCACAAAGCTTCAACATACAAGCTTCAACAAAAGAAAAATTCAAAGAACTTAGTGAAGAAGGCTTTGGTGTATTTCACACAATACGTTGAAATGAAACAAAGCTTATTTATCGATATCTCTAAGAAGTTACAAATATGTACATATACACGAGTCAAAATAAACAAACAAGAGGGAGCCTTCACAAAGGTTGCTTAGGAGAAGTCTCAGCAGTCGGCAGAGCCCCAGAAAGAGAAGGTACCGGAGGGGGATCATTCGGAGCCTCAGTACTGGACAGCACCCTAGAAGGAGGAAGCATCGGAGGTTGATCATTTAGAGCTTCATTACGCGGTACAGCCCCAGAAGACGAAGGCAATAAATGCCTTTGGAACAAACCCACAAACCTCTGATGATCATGTAAAATCTGACCATCAAATTCCTTCATCTGGTCAAGCTTCATCTTCATGTTTGTAGCATAGTCATGAGCGAGCCGGTGCAACTGTTTATTCTCATGCTTGAGCCCTCTAATCTCCTGTTTGAGACTCATCACTTCAGCTGCCAATGATTCAACTTTGCGGGTTCGAGCAAATAGGTGTTGGGTCGTATTAGACACAGAACCTGCACACTAAACACTGAGAGCCAGAGAATCCTTAACAGCCAACTCATCAGACCGTTTGGAAAGTAGTCTGTTATCTTTGGGAGTGAGAAGGTTCCTGGCCACCACCGCAGCGGTCATATCATTCTTCATCACGGAATCCCCAACGGTAAGAGGGCCAGTAGGGGATAAGAAGGATGGGCGTCATATGTTGTCTGGAGAAGGCGTGGCTGCCTCTTCAACAAGATTCAAGTCAAAACGACGGTCGGAGGGGCCAGACATTTTCAAAAGTGTTGAAGAGAAAAGAGGTCGGACAAATCAAGATCTTAGAAATGCAAGAAGGGAGCTTCTACTGGTGGAGATTCAAGTGTGCTTTGGAACTTAATACCAACCTCTATAAAAATCCGCACTCGATGGAGCTTCAGAAATCGAAGAGGCGCCTGCTCAGAAATCGAAAAGGCGTTTGCTTTCTCAAAAGCTGGGCTGCTCAGAGACCACGAGGGTCAATCTCAGGAATCGAAGAGGCGTTTTGCTTTCTCAAAAGCTGGGCTGCTCAAAGACCACGAAGGTCGATCGCAGAAATCGAAGAGGCGCTTGCTTTCTCAAAAGCTGGGCTGCTCAGAGACCACGAGGGCCGATCTTAGAAATCGAAAAGGCACCTGCTTTTTCAGCCTTGTCAGCACCTGTCACATGCACACTCAACTTTGCGGAAATTACGGGCATTCTGTCGAAGATTTCTAGTGAAGTAGAAAGCCCGTGAATGTTATTGTTCAATCATTCACTTTCCACACGCAACATCAGCTCACGGGTACCACAGATAACTTTGCCAAAAATCTCTGACAAAGTTTAGACACGTGAAGCTTGCAGCTCCCATTACATCGCTATGACCAAGAAGGGTAAAAGAATAGCAAAGAAACAGCACTAACAAAGTTTAAACACATAAATTTTGAAGGTCTAGCTACCATATTATTACCCACAAGGGTAAAGGAACAGGACCATTGCTGGATAATTGGAAAGTCCTTGTGGGTCAACCTCTGTGCTCTGTGGCAAGGTAGACTAGCAAACAGGCCTAACCTTTACTCACATTTGAGAAAACACTCCCAACAAGATTGCTTGCTTCAAGATCGAAGAGGCACCGTCCTCCGAATCTCGAGAGCCAGACTCCCAACATGATTACTTTCTCAAAAAACGACGAGACACCGCTCTCTGAATCTCGAGAGCCAGACTCCTAGCAGGATTGCTTTCTCAAAAATCGAAGAGGCACCGTTCTCCGAATCTCGAGAGACAGATCCCCGACAGGATTGCTTGTTCGAAAACCGAAGAGGCACCGCTTTCTCAACTTCGAGAGCCCCTTAGATAAAGCTTGTCTGTAATCCTCACACCGTTTCTCAACTTCGAAAGCCAGATCTCTTTGGATAAATCTTGTCTGTAATCTTCACACGTAACATCAGCTTTCCAGATACCACAGACCACTTTTTCAAAGTGCTCTGACAGAGTTAAAACACGTGAAGCTGGCAGCTCCCACTACCGTGCTATGACCAAGCAGGGTAAAAGAATAGTATTACTCCTTGTTAGGGAGACTCCTATATATGTCGACCTCCATTCTCAACGGACAGGCAGACCTGCAAAAATGCTCAACCCTTCCTCATATCTGAGAGGGCACTCCCAACGAAGCCTCTCGAAATACTCAGCTTTCTTTCCCTCCGAGAATACCTCTGCAAACAAGCTACACTAGAGCAAGAATATCTCATATCATCAGGGTTAAAAGTAAAAGTATCCCATATCATGCTTTTTTCCCTATCTTTTCCTTTGGCCTTGTTCTTACCTGCAAGACAAGGAGAAAGAGAGCAATCAGTCAGCACTTGGAATCAAGCTTCCAGTCCGGAACTGACTGCCTGGAACCCCATTGCTCTCGAGTACTCATCTTCAACATCTTATGCTTCCCGAGAAGATACCACATCTGCCTGAGGAACAAATAGGGCAAGTGAGAAGGATACAAGGAAGCATGTGGAGACAAGCGCAACAGAACATGTGCCGATACATCCACTACTTTGTCAACAGCAAAAGTATCACATATCAGCAGGGTCGAACGTACTCTAGATTTGATGAACTTGTTTTGACCCTCAAATTCTTCAGTCGGCCTTATACTCTGGCGGAAACAAGAAAACCCTCCAGCCCAGTTCAAGAATAAGCCTGTGGAAAGTTACTTCTTCAAAAGCAAAAGTATCTCATATCACCTTTTCTCCTTTTCTTCTCTTTATCCTTCATGCTACCTGCAAGATAAGGAGAAGGATAACAATCAGCCGGAACTCGAAATCAAACTTCTGATCTGAGACTGATTGCTTGGAGCTCTGATTGCTTACCTTGTCTGTCACCTCTTTCAGCAGATCCCCTAGCTCGGCGACTTGGGAGACTCCTACTACATGGTTTGTATCGCGCTTGACCAAGCCTGAAACTACAAGTAAGCGTCAAGTGAAATTGATACATTACCTTGTGCATCTCCACCAGTTAAAGATACCACCCCTGGAGGGAGGAAGAGTACTTCCAAAGAAGATGCCACATCTACCTATGAGACAGATAAGGCAAGTGAAGACGATACCACACTTCGGTACTTAAAAGTTTCGTGATTACGAGATCATTCTTCCACAATATTTCCTAATGTCATTTGTACTAAATCATTCATTTGTACTCACTAAAGGAGAGTTTGAACCTATACTGTGTAAACCCTTCACAATTAATGAGAACTCATTTACTCCGTAGACGTAGCCAATCTGGGTGAACCACGTACATCTTGTGT